CATTTGAAAACTCATTAGAAGATTGATAAAATCAAAGCTTCTCAACAACAAGTTTTATTTGCTTTTTGTCAAGTATATCACTCATTTCAAATTCTCGAGGCGAGAATAAATGATCAATGATGTTTAAATGATTCACTTAGTCCAAAATTTATGTAGATTCATTATAGGATTGATAATACCAAAGTCTCCTAACAATGAATCTCAAGGTTATTGGATCAAAGGTTTCAAATTAAACATACTTGGGATTGCAAACATAAGTTTGGGCCACGAATGATCATTTCTCAAATCGGGACAAAATTTAGCGTTATGTTAAGCAATCGTAAGTGGACTTATGTAGAAGTCACACCCATTTTGAGGCCGGTCAATAGCAATCTATGTGCCATATGTTTGGAGAGATGATATGTAAATCGTCCTCTAACAACATGTAGCACAAATAAGAAAGGGATAAGATGAAGAGGGAGGAGATGCATTGTATGAAATAAGGGTTTAAAATATCATCAACATCATTCATCCACTTTGATGGATTTGGTTTCTCAACCTATCAACACCCAAGATCCAATGAGGTTGTGGAATTTGTCACCAAATGAAATCCAAGTCAGAACAAAATAAAAATAATAAAATAATATTTAGTAAAAAAATTTTTTAATGGTTAAATAAAAAGAGAATAAATGGTAAAATACACAAAGTATATTAAAATATCAAATAAAAATCCTAAAAAAAATCAGACGTCAAACATGATTTAATAAATGTTGGTAAAAATTTTCAGAATTTTTTAAAGTTAGAAATTATTTTTTAGAAATAAAAGAAATAAGTAAAACAAACCAAAAAATGGTAAAAAATAGTAAAATCGGAAATAAAAATAAATAAAGTTATCAAAAATCGCCAAAAGTCCAAAAGACCTTTCCATAATTTTTTCAGAATTTAAAAATAAAGGAAAATATTTTTAATCAATTAAAACAAGCTAATTAAAGTGAAAAAATTATAAAAAATATCAAATCATAAAATAAAATTGTAAAAAAATAAAAATCAGAAAGAGAAAAATCCAAAATTTTTAAGAATTTTTTCAGATTTTTTGAGTCAAATGAATTTCTTATGAATTTTCGAAGTTTAAATCAATTAAAATATAAAGTCAAAAAATAAAAATAAAACCAAAAAGATAGAAACCATTGGATCAATGTCAAAACGCATTAGTAATCAAATCAAAGGGATCTGGCGTGCTGTGCATATCATGGTCATTAGTGAATAAACCACTGGATCAAATATTTAAATCAAATTTTTAAAAAACAAGTGGCACATTGTCATTGGTTGAAAGATGATACGTTGTTCATCTTCAACCTCCAGCCACGCGAATCTCAGGTCTCACAAACTGTAAAATTAGGACTGCATACCAATGTCATTCACTTCGTCTCATCAAGACGAAGACAAACGTACCCTCGCAAAAAATTTATTTAAAGTGTAGCTCAGTCGATTTGCAAAAAACCTGAAGAAAAAAGTTGAATAGGGATTTGAAAATTCATAACCAAAAGTCGTTTCCAGTTGAAAACAAATGATGCAACGAGTATCCGTGATAAGAGCTTCATTGTAGTAGCAAATTTTGAGAGAATTGATGAAGGAATCTACCTATTGAAGTTCAAATTCAGAGCTCTGAAACTTGACTTGGCTAACACGATGGTTATTCTTTTAACTTGGAAAGATGTGCTGACGCCAAAACTGGGAATATTCATGGAATAAAAGGTCATGATTATCATGTTTTCCTGGAACGATTTCTTCCAATTCCATGCAGTTCACTACCCAAGAATATGCTTAATCCACTAATTGACATCAGAAAAAATTTTAGAGACATTTGTGCGTCAATTTTAAGAGTAGACGACATCATTAAATTGGACCGAAATATTCATGTCATTCTCTGCAAGTTGGAGCAAATATTCCCACCAGGTTTCTTTGATTCTATGGAGCATCTCTTTGTGTATCTTGCTTATGAAGCTTTCCTAGGTGGACCTATTCAATATAGATGGATTTATCCATTTAAACGATTCATGAGAGATTCAAAGAGATCAGTGAGAAATAAGCAAGAGTTTAGGGATCAATTTGTGAATATTATTCACATCGCGAAACATCACATTTTTGCTCTCATTATTTCAATCACATAATGTTAACTCCAAGAATCATAAGGAACGAAGTTCACTTCAGTGAAAGAAGTCAATTCACCTTATCAGTTTTAGGTCGTCTAGACCGTCCCTCAGGGAAGACGAATGAGCATTGGCTTTCTAAAAAAGAAATACAATCTGCTCATGTTCATGTGTTGATTAACTACGTTGAAGTTAAACCATATCTTGAGTAAGTATAATTAATTAATTATATATGTTTTATTGGTTAAGACTTGTAACCTTCTCTAACCTAATTTATTTTTGAAATAGGGCACTTAGTACCTACTATACTCAAAGCACATGCGAACAACCATCAACTGGTTACCCGCATACCTATTTTCCAGCATGGTTCAAGCAACAATTATCATGTATTTTTTCACCAAGTCCTGAAATAATACATTTGAGAAGTTTGTCTGAAGGCCCTCGTCAACGTGTAAATGAATGACACACATACTTTGTAAATGGTCACAAATTTCACACTGAGATATGGAGTGAAGGGAAGAAAATCGTAAATAGTAGAGTAGTCGTAAAAGGAGTTACATAGTGTGGTAAGGACGGCTTCCATAGGGTTATCACACATATTTAAGAGTTGGTCTATAATTATATGGACTTGGAAAATAAAGTTGTCTTATTTTATTGTGACTGGTATGATTCCTCTTCTAGAGGAACAAAAATTGATAAAAAATATAACACTGTTGAGGTTCAAATAAATAGAAAGTACAAAGAGTATGAACCTTTCGTAAAGGCACATAATGTTAGGCAAGTTTATTATGTACCTTATCCTTCAATTACCCCACGCAAACGAGGATGGTGTTTTGTAATCAAGTCCAACCCAATGGATCACATTGAGACTGACGAAGTAATGAAAGATGGTGCATACCAAGTAGATGATATTTTACCTGTTAATGGAGTAATTGAAATTGAGAAGATTATAAGTTTGTGTGATACTGTAGTTGAGGTTCAACAAGTTGACACAACTATCTTATTGTCAACTGAACATATAACCTCTCAAAGTTGGTTAGGAAAATAATTATATGAACAATTGTGTTATATTTAAACAACAACTTACACTGGTTAATATTTTTCAAGCATTCTATGACTCATCATTCATCTCACGTTCTTTAATGGTTAAAATCTCTGCAATATTTCAAGCTCTTTATTCAACACTTTTTTTCTACTAATTCATTCTTGAAAGCATAAAATTTTATGTTTTGAAAAATGAACAAAATACGGAAGAAAGTTAAACAAAAACTAGAAGTTTTGGAGAGATTTTAACTATAAAAGAACATGAGATGAATGATGAGTTGTAGAATGCTAGAAAAACATTAATCAGTGTAAGATATGTTTCAAATACTACATAATTTTTCATATGATTATTTTCAAAATCAATTGAATAGGTTATATATTCAAAGAGGGGTTATGAAATAAATAATCGATATTAGATAATAAACTTACTCGACGAAACAAGATGAGAGTTGCACAAAGAATCACAAAAATCATAAAATCAATATCAATATCAATCTAAAACTCAAACTAAATAACAACAACTAAACCACATCATATAGTTTTTCATAACTTTGCTAGTAGAACAACTAAACAACAACAACAACAACAACAACAACAACAACAATAACATAAACAACAACATCATCTACAATGAGTCTCAACAACAACAACAACAACAACATAAAATCTTTAGGGTCTCAACAACAAGTCTTAATAATAACAACAACATCAACAACAAGATAAAATCTCTAGGATTTTCGAGTCTCAATAAAGGATCTCAACAACAACAACATCAATAAACCTATAACATAAATTTGTTTAAACAACAACAAGATAAAACATCTAGGGTTTCAGATCTCAACAACAACAACTACAACAACAATATGAGTAATGTTGTTTGACGTACCAAATTTATGAATAAGAAGAAGAAGTAAACGAAAATAATTTGGATATCCGAAGAAGAAACAAGAGTCATAAACACATATCATCTTTGTATTAAATATGATATGTGTTTATGACTCTCGTTGTTTAGGGCTCTCTTATCGACTCTTTTGTTAAGGGATCTTCATAAGGGTTATGTTTGTGTTGCTTAATAAAGTAAAACTGAAATCTACAAGATAAAGCTATATAAATTAGAGAAAGAAATTTACCTCGGTTGAAAAATAAAACTAAGATAAAAAGTGACGTATTTTTAAATTAAAAATAAATTATTCATAAAGACACCATTTTTAATGGGATAAAAACATAATCCAAATTTGCTGGGATTTAAAACATGTATACTGAAATAATTTATCTTTTATTTTTCATAAAAAACTGATGAAATAAATTAAATATTTTTTTAAGAAAAATAATGTACATCAAGAAATTATTTTTAATTTTTTTATCGTTGTCATCAAAAATAATTTCTTAATAGTAATAATATAAAATATGATTATTGTCATTTTATTAACATTAAAAGAGGTGAACCGATAAACAAATTATAAGTTAATAAATAATTAAAAAAATAAGATAAATGCATGTCGGTGTTTTTATTTGTAACCTGTGTTATTTTGATATTCGGCATTCCAATGAATCAAATCAACTCACGGGTGCATCTTTAAAGTTTTAACCATTTGATTCAAAGTAATCAATAATTTAGTGTGTCAAAAGAACATCAATTTAATGTACCGAAGAATATAATACGCTAGTGCTTCCACATATACAAGACAAATTGCTTCCACTAAATATATTTCTTGTTTAGATTCGTTGATTCCATTTTGTATAAAATATTATTATACTTAACCCAAGTTGAATCACTAGTTGATCTATATAAGAAAACAATTTACCATCATTCGAGACATATGCTAAATGGATTTCGTTTTTGATTCCCTAACTGCTTGTGCCATTGCGGTAGCATTATTTTCTATATTTTTCTTTTACTATTTGTTTCTTCATAGTTCCTCCAAAGAGGCTCCTATAGTTCAAGGAGCATGGCCAATAATTGGTCACCTCCCACTATTGAGGCCTTCCAAAGGAATACCTCATAGAATCTTAGGTGAATTGGCCAACAAATATGGACCCTTATTTACCATTAAGCTTGGTGCCAAACGTGCTTTGGTTCTAAGTAATTGGGAAATAGCAAAGGAATGTTTCACCAAATTTGATATAGAAGTTTCCACTCGCCCTAAACTTGAAGCAACTCAACATATGGCTTACAATGGAGCCATGTTTACTTTAGCACCCTATGGTCCTTATTGGCGCGAAGCGCGTAGGATTACAACTTTAGAGATCCTCAGCATTCGACGTTTAGGGCAACTAGAACATTTCCGTGTTAGGGAAGTTCGAAGATCGATTAAAGAGCTCTACAATGTTTGGTGTAGTAAAGAAAACAACAATTCATCAAACTATATGATGGTGGAGATGAAGCAATGGTTTGCTCAATTGAGTTCAAACATCGTTCTTCCAATGTTGGTTGGAAAGAGGTATTTCGGTGCTACAAGTGTGTTAGATAAGGAAAAAGCACAAAAGTATATTCATAATATGAAAGAGATGCTGCATTTGGTAGGAGTATTCACAGTTGGAGATGCTATTCCTTTTCTAAAATAGTTTGATTTTGGTGGCCATGTGAAGGCCATGAAAAAAACATATAAGGAGATGGACAAGATTTTAGGTGAGTTATTGGAGGAGCATCGCAGCCATATTAAGAATTTGAGTGAGAATGATGATGTTGATCCGGATCATCAAGACTTCATGGATGTGATGCTTTCGTTGCTTGATGGAACAAAAATTGAAGAATTTGATTCCGATACTACAATCAAAGGCACAACATTGGTAACTAACTTTTGTTATATAGTCAATAAAGTTTTGTATATATAGTGCAGGAATAAACACATTTGTTAGAGACACACCACTTATCTACCTAAAACTTTAAGGTGATAGATGAGTGGGTTCTCTCACTTATATATGCTTAAGTCTCCACATACTTATCCAATGTAGAACTATTTCTCCACTTACTCACACTTACTATATTATTCAACAATACACGACTTGATTATCATGTTAACATATTATTATGAAATTTTTATTTTTTTACAGGCACTTATCGCGGGAGGAGTTGAAACAACTAGTGGCACTCTTACATGGGCAATAAGTTTATTACTAAAAAATCCTCATGTGATGAAAAAAGCAAAGGAAGAACTTAACATTCATGTTGAAAAAGAAAGATGTGTAGAAGTATCTGACATAAAAAACTTGATATACCTTCAAAGTATAGTAAAAGAAACACTAAGATTATATCCACCAGTCCCACTCTCAGTGCCACGCGAATTCTCAGAAGATTGCAATTTAGATGGTTATGTTATCGAAAAAGGAACTCGACTTATCTTAAATCTTTGGAAGATTCACACTGATCCTAAGATTTGGTTAGATCCATTAGAGTTCAAACCAGAACGATTTCTTACCACTAATAAGGATATTGATGTTAAGGGTCATAGTTTTGAATTGTTACCATTTGGAAGTGGTAGAAGAATTTGTCCTGGAATATCTTTGGGCCTTCAAATGGTGCATATGGCTTTAGCTAGTTTTTTGCATTCGTTTGAAATCTTAAATCCATCATCTAAACCTATTGATATGACTGAAGGTTTTGGAGTAACCTACATCAAAGCAACTCCTCTAGAGATTCTTATTAAGCCATGCTTATCTTCTAGTTATTATGAAAACATGTAATGTTTATTTTTAAATTTTTTGTGAAGCATTTTCATTCTATTCAATCCTTTGTGATTCGTGCTATGGTATTTATGTAATCGTTTTGTGATATTTAATGTACTTCATTTCGTTAACTTTATGAAAGTTGAGAATATTTGAGGTGAATAATTATTTGAGAGATTAAATATAGACAAGCATTTATTGATATGTATAATCCTACATTAAATGATATGCTTTGCCTGTTTTTCAGGATTTAAAGGTGGTTTTTGTTAAATTGTAATTCAGTGTGTCGAAACTATGTGTCGAGAAGATTTGATTTGTTTTAGATTTAAATAGATTTGATTTAAGTCTAGAATAAATTAGATTTGATTTAGTAACAAAAAGATATTTTGGGCTTTGGACTTAGGGTGTAAGCTCAGTTATAAATAGAGGGAGTAGCCTCTATTTTTTTAAGCAAGTCAAGCAAGTCATTCACAGTATTTTGCAGTTGCAAAGTGAATAAGAAAATTTTCACAGTTTGTGAGCAGAGAGAAACTCTGCAGAAATTATTTGTCTTGTCTTCTTTTTTTGTTTGTCTCATAATTAAATTGTCATTGTGGTAGAAATTCATGATAGACTTTGGTGGATTTCCAACAATTGGTATCAAGAGCTTTGTTTCGATTCAAGGGAAGTATCAATCAAGAACGATTGAAGAATTCACAATGACAAGTTATGGGAATGCAAACTATCTAGCAACCCTACCAATTCTGAAAGTTGACAACTATGAGAATTGGTGCAAACAGAAGAAAGTCTTATTCAGGCGTCAAGGTCTTTGGGACCTTGTAAAAGATGGAGTCGAAGCGCTTGGAAAAAATGCTTCAGAAGAAGAAAAGAAGAAATATACAGAATCTGAGAAGCTGAGTTATAAAGCATTATTTATAATTCATCAATGTGTCAGCCCAGACAATTTCGAAAAGGTTAGTGATTCAGAATCTGCAAAAGAAGCTTGGGAAATTCTTTAGAAGTCTTTTGGAGGCGCTGAGAAGGTGAAAGAAGTGAGGTTACAAACTCACAAAAGGACGTATGAACTGCTTCAGATGGAAGACAGTGAAAGCATATCTTATTTCTTCACTAGAGTTACAAAACTAGTAAATCAAATCAAGATATGTGGATAAGCGTTAACAACAGGAGTTGTTGTTTCGAAGATCTTGAGATCTTTAGCTCCTAAGTTCGACCACATAGTGGTGGAGATAGAAGAGGGGAAAGACTTGTTGAAATTGACAAAGGAAGAGCTTCAAGGGACGCTTGAATCTCATGAACAAAGAATGAACGAAAGAGTTGCAGGAAAATCGAAGAGTGATGTGGCCTTACAGGCACATTCAGCAAAAAAGACCAAAGGCAAAGGAAAGTGTTTTGACAGAGGTAGAGGTGACTACAACAAATCAAATGGTAGAGGAAACCAAATCGAAGGAAACGTGTCGAATCAAAGAAGACCGTACCAAGGCAACCAAAGAGGTGGTGTTGCAAATAGAGGAAGAGGTGGTGGTTGAAAACCTGATAAGAGTCACATTCAATGTTACAATTGTCAGAAGTATGATCACTATTCGAGTGATTGTCCAGAAAAACGAAAGAATCAAGAAAGTGATGCAAAGCTTGCAAAACATGAAGAAGAAGAAGAAGAAGAAGAGATGATGCTGATGGTCACAACAAATAATGAAGATAGATTCAAGGACCAATGGTACTTGGATTCAGGATGTTCATCACATATGTCTGGAAGGAAAGACTGGTTTGTCAATATAAAGCCCTCAATGAAAAATATGGTAAAACTTGCAAATGACAATACCCTAGAAGCTGAAGGTATTGGTGATGTTATGATTATGAGGAAAGATGTCAAGAGGTCAGTAATTTCTAATGTGTTGTACATACCAGGCATAAAGAGCAATTTGCTCAGTATAGAGAAGTTGGTCGAAAAGAATTATAAAGTGTCAATCGAAGATAAGATGATGAGATTCGTTAATGCAAATGGGAGATTAATCTTGAAGGCTCTTATGTCTCAGAATCGAACCTTCAAGATTGAACTAAATGTGATGGAGCACAAGTGCCTTTCGACTGCTGCTAGCAGAAATGAATGGATATGGAATTATAGACTAAGCCATCTCAACTTCAGAGACATCAGAGATTTGAAGAGAAGAAATATGGTTTCAGGATTGCCAGAAATCGATATTCCAAACGAAGTATGTAAGGAATGTGTGCAGGCGAAGAAACACAAGAATAACTTCAGCAAGGATGCAGGAAGCAGGTCGAAGGCTAGTCTTGAAGTCATATACTCTGATGTATGTGGACCAATCCAGGTGGATTCGGTGAGAGGTAACAAATACTCTGTTACATTCATAGATGATTTCAGTCGAAAGTTGTGGACTTATCTGATCAAGAAGAAAAGTGAAGTGATTGAAGTATTTGCCAAGTTTAAGTCTATGGTCGAAAGACAGAGTGGTCAAAAGCTCAAAGTTTTGAGAACTGATGATGGTGGAGAATATATGTCGAAAGACTTCGACAGGCTATGTGAAAAGGAAGGGATTGTGCATGAGGTGGTTCCACCCTATACTCCACAACAAAATGGAATTGCAGAAAGGAAGAATCGAACCATCATGAATATGGTGAGAAGTGTGTTGAAAGGCAAGAATTTACCTAAAGAGTTTTGGGGTGAAGTTGTTTCGACTGCAACATACATTTTGAACAGATGTCCTACAAAGAAGTTAGAAGGAATTACTCCAGAATAATGTTGGTCTGGTGTGAAGCCTAGCTTGAGTCATCTTAAGTTATTTGGATCTATTGCACATAGACATGTGACAGATCACTTGATAAGAAAACTTGATGAGAAGTCAAGTCAAATGATTCTAGTTGGATATCATTCGACATGAGGCTACAAGTTGTTCGATCCAGTGAAAAAGCAGATTGTGATCAGCAGGGACATGATCATAGATGAGTTTAAAGAATGGGATTGGACTGAAAATGTCAAGAAAGATTCAGTGGGAATCCTTCTTGAAGAGCCAGAAACTCAAGTCGAAAGAGAAGTTCGACAAGAGGAACCAACAGATATACCAAGTACAAGCAGGCCTCAAAGAACAAGACGCATTCCTGCAAGATTGCAAGATTGTGTGATTACATCATATGATGTAATAAATAATGAAGGTGAGCTGGTACATTATGCTTTCTATGTAGATGTCGAACCTGTTAATGCAACTGAAGCATTAAAGGATTCGAAGTGGGTGAAAGCAATGAACGAAGAAATAAAGTCTATCGAAGACAAAAATACTTGGTCACTTGTCAAATTGCATCAAGGCAAGAAGGTAATTGATGTCAAGTGGGTATACAAATTGAAAACGAATTCGAAAGGTGAAGTAACTCGACACAAAGCAAGACTTGTGGCGAAAGGATTTCTACAGAAAGAAGGAATAGACTTCGATGAAGTTTTTGCACCTGTTGCTAGGATCGAAACAATCAGGTTGGTTGTTGGTCTAGCAGAAATAAACAGTTGGCACATATGTCAGATGGACGTGAAGTGTGCATTCCTAAATGGACCCTTAGAAGAAGAAGTTTATATTAAACAACCAGTTGGGTTTGTGAAACATGACGAAGAAAGAAAGGTGTACAGGCTGCATAAAGCCCTGTATGGATTGAAACAAGCTCCAAGAGCTTGGAATAAGAAAATTGATAGTTTCCTAAGGGAGAAGGAATTTGTAAAGTGCACAACTGAACATGGAGTATATGTAAGAAGAAGCAATAGTGAATTGCTTATACTATGTCTCTATGTAGATGATTTGTTGATAACAAGTAGCTGTAAAAGTGAGATCGAAGATTTCAAATGTGATCTCAGCAAGGAATTCGAAATGTCTGATTTGGGTGAGATTTCATATTTCCTTGGAATCAAATTCTACAAGAGCAGTAGAAGTTTGATGATGCATCAAAGAAGATATGCAGGAGAAATTCTCAAGAGATTTGAGATGGAAGAATGCAACTCGACTTCGACACCTGCAGAACCAAGACTGCAACTGTCGAAAGATGAAGATGAAGATGATGTTGGTCCAACCCAATACAGAAGACTTATTAGATCATTGAGATACCTTTGTCATACAAGGGCTGACTTAGCATACAGTGTAGGTATGTTAAGCAGATTCATGAAAAAGCCAAAGGTATCACATCTAGCAGCAGTGCAGAGGATACTAAGGTATCTCAAAGGAACTTTCGATTATGGCATTTTGTTTCCTACAACTGATAAAGGAAAAGAATGCAAGTTAGTGGGATATATTTATTCGAGTTGGTGTAGTGATACTGAAGATCGAAAGTCAATATCAGGATATGTGTTTATGCTAGGTGGTGCACCAGTTGTTTGGAATTCAAGAAAGGAACCAGTAGTGGCATTATCATCATGCGAAGCAGAATCAATAGCTGCTTCTCTTTGTGCATGTCAAGCAACTTGGATGGTGAACTTGATCGAAGAGATAACAGAGAAAAATCATGGAGCAATTACCATGAAGATAGACAGCATGTCAGCTATTAATCTAGCGAAGAACCCAATAGCACATGGTCGAAGTAAGCACGTCGAAATGAGGTTCCATTATCTTCGAGAGCAGGTAGCAGATGGGAAGATGAATTTGGAACACTGCAGAACTGAGAATCAGATTGCATACATCATGACAAAGGGAGTGAAAGTCGAAGTATTCAGAAGACTAAGAGCCATGATGAACATAAATAGTTTAGACACAATGAATTAGGTGGTGTGTTAAATTGTAATTCAGTGTGTCGAAACTATGTGTCGAGAAGATTTGATTTGTTTTAGATTTAAATAGATTTGATATAAGTCTAGAATAAATTAGATTTGATTTAGTAAAAAAAGATATTTTGGGCTTTGGACTTAGGGTGTAGGCTCAGTTATAAATAGAGGGAGTAAACCCTATTTTTGTAAGCAAGTCAAGCAAGTCATTCACAGTATTTTACAGTTGCAAAGTGAATAAGAAAATTTTCACAGTTTGTGAGCAGAG